AAGGCCTGGTGGGCCAGGATGTGCTCCACTCTCTCCTCCTCCCCCTTCATCTGCTCCCGTGTGCTCTGATCAGATACGTCCCTCTGCCAGCCTGCTTCTAAGGAGCCTCCTGGCTGTTCTTCCCAGACAGACCTGTTTGTCCTTCTGGCAGGCCAGGCGTGGTCTTCGCTGCTACCACCGTCCTTCAAATGCAGCAGCTCCTCTCCGGTCTTCCTTTTTCATGGTCCAGCTCGCACGTGCCCGTGGGGCCATTGATTGGAAGTGCCTTGGCCTGGGTCAAGTGTACCTCAGTCCACAGAATGGCGTCTTTGCTTTTCGACGATGGAAAGCGGTCTCCTGCAGCAGGCTTCCCCATGATTTCATTAGGGCTTGCAAAATAATTTATTACAGGGAATTTCTTTTGTTTAAAAAAACAAACACACGCAAAAAAACCTTGCCTTGTAACCAGAGCTTTGGTTTGGTCAGCACACGTGGTTTGAATGGTTCTGGTTGATGTGACTGGTGTTTTGCAGTAGCCAGTACACAGCCAGGTCAGACGGTAAATGTATTTTCCTTTCCTGTCTTGTTCTCAATAAGCACAAGTTGAAGTTACCCCCGAGAAGGTTTATGGAAAAGAGCCAAAAGGAAGGCTCAGTTCAGAGAACTGGCCACAGTGGGGCTTCCGCCCGGGCAATGACTCACCCAGCCAGGGCACACAGGCTCCCGCTTAGGACAGCCTCACGTCCTTTGCGGCCACGGGGCGCCCCTCGGTGACAGCTGTGCTTTCTGACAATTGAGCTCTTTCTCCTGGTGAGGATGTTGTTGGGAAAACATTTCTTTTGCCTAAAGTCAAGAGTCTGTGGCTCGCCAAAGTGTCTGGCCCTTTCCCCAGAGCCCCGGAAGCGGTTGAGGGAAAGAGAGCTGAGCTATCTGGTGGGAGAGCCTCTAGGCGGAACTGGTGTCAGCAGTGCTATGGTTTAGAAGCTGGGACCCCACAGCAGCTGAGCGGGGAAAGGTGAGCAGGAAGCCGGAGCCTCTGTTTTAATGCTAGCGTTTTTATGGAAGTGTGAACACAGCGGTGCACCAAATCATCGTGGACAAGCTAGTCGGTTTCTAAACAGCGACTATGCCCAATGGACAGGGCACCCAGGAAAGAAGCTTCTCCCGTTTCTCTACCGCCCCTTGTGCCCCCTTCCAGCCCCTGCGTCCGCCGAGGGGTGACCTTTCTAAGCCGACCTTCGTGTGTGACGTCTGATGCTGACCCCTGCCCCTGAGATCATGTGTGTGGTAGGCGGCGCAGTGGTTCCTGCTGGCTGCCACAGGAACCAAGCCAAGCAAACCAAGCTCACCGCCATCGAGTCCATCCCAACTCGCAGTGACCCGTCGACGGGGTAGCACTGCCCTCTGGGCCTACGAGACCGTCACTCTTTACAGGAGAAGAAAGTCCTATCCGACCCCCAGGAACCCCTGTGCCACCAGGGCGCCTGCTTTACGGACGGACCACGATTTCGTTGTCCATTTTTCATTGCTGGTGGGCGTGGGCGTGTTACCAGTGTGTGAGGATCACAGATAGTCCAGGGACTTGGCTGTGGTGTCTGTTTTCATGTTGCGTGGACACGTAGGAGTGGGATTGCTGCGTCATACGTTCATCTGTAGATCTTATCAGTCCGCCCATGTAGTTTTACCAAGGTATGCTCCCTCCAGACGTGCCTGAGGATTCTGGTACTTACCTGCCCGCGGTGCTGTCCGCGTCTTAAATAGAGGTCCTTGTGCAAAGTGCGAGGGGGCATCTCGCTGTGTTTTCACATGCACTTCCCCCAGGGCTCCCCACGAAGCGGGCGGCCACTTTATGAAATCCTTGCGCCCACCACTTGCTTACTTCACCTTGGGTTGTCTTCCTCCTGTTATTTTGCGGAGTCCTTGAGTGGAAGGAAGCCCTTTGCACCCCTCCTGCTGGTTCTCATTGTGGGGCCATCTGGCCCACGTGAGAGCAGTCTCCAGGCCCAAGGCCCCACTAGGGAGGCGCTCAGCCCAAGTCAGGCTTCGGCTCGTCTCTCCCAGCAGATGACTGGCACAGAGCAGCCTCGTCTTGGGCTTGGCCGGCCACAGGCCCCGAGTGTGCATCATCTGATGACGCTGAGGATGACAAAGATGCCTCCGTTGCCGGCCACCCAAAGCCACGGAGCATAGCCAGGCAGGGCTCTCAGCACTGGGCTCAGTCACTCATAAGGTTGTCCCAGCAAACCCGTGAAAACGATGCTATTGTTTCCGTGTTGTGTAAGTGAAAGGACTGAAGCTCGGGTGCTTAGAAGCCCACCTGCGGCCTGGAAGTCGTGCTGGAGGTTGGATGCTGCCTGGGATAAGAAGTCACTTCTTGTCCTCTCATTGTTTAATGCTTCTTAGCCAGCAGTCTCGCCGTCCGCTGGGGGTTGGGGTTCACCCCCAGACAGTTCTGGAGTTGTTAGGACCACAGCCGTCTTTTCCTAAGCCCCGTGCTAGGCATTCCCAGGGCACCGACTCATACGCTTCTCCTTAGAATCCTGGGGCTGCGTGTTTTCCAGCCCCATTTGAAAGAGAGGACAGCGGGGGCTGGAGAGGGAAGGGGATGTGCCCCCGCTGGTGTGAGGCCAGGAGTCACGCCCTGACCTCTCCGAAATCACAGCCAGCGGCCCAGGCTGCAGCACCGGTGGCTGCCCTCGGTCATCCACCTGCTGCTGCTGGTCCGTGGGCCTCCAAGGGATGGGGGAGGGGTGGTTGTTTCTGGGGTTCTTTTTTCTTTTGTAATTTGGCTGTTTTTGAAAAACTAGGCCTGAGTCCCTCCATGGTGACGGTCAGCTGGCCGTGGCTCCTGTCCACTTTTCCAGCCTGCCGCTGCCGTTGGTGCAGTGAGACATGAGAGGGTAACTGCCTTCCATGAACACACACGCATGCACACCTGGGGGCAGGTATCAGAATCACCAGCCGAATATTCGGGCGCTTGCCCTGAGAAGCTGTTTTTGCTGTGGGAGTCGGTCACCTATGTTGCGCTAGACAGAACGAAGGCTGGAAGATGCCTAATCCCCCTACCCTCTCCGAAAAATGCCACCAGTGGCGCACTAATCTAGAAAGATCGTGGAATGAAGGTGAAACTTGGCACCCAATTCTCCCCTCAGAGTCTCGGTTTCCTCCTTGGTCTGGAGTTCGGTCCTGGAGTTAGGAGCCCGGGCCTGCCACTCGCTGAGGGGAATGAGGCCGGCGCCAGGGAAGCGCTCCGTGCAGGGAAGGGTGCTTGTTCTGAGCAGTGGGTGTCTCAGCCAGCACTCCCAGGGGCCTGGATCATTCGATTGTCTTAGGAAGAAGGAAGGGCACCCCAGGGGCCCTGACAGATGCTGCCTGGGGAAGGGACTGAGATTCAATTCCCAGAGTGCTGGTGGGGCCGCCCTGCCGGCGTAACCTTGCCCTTCTCACCGCCTGGCCCCTTTCCCTCTGTGGAACTCAGCTGCGGTGGGCCTGGCCGACCCTCCAACCTGTCACTGCTGAAGGAGCGGGGCTGCAGGCTCACTCTCCGGCAAGCCTTGGCTAACTGCTAACTGCAAGGTCAGCGGTTCAAACCCATCAGCGGCCCCACGGGAGAAAGAGGAAGCTCTCTGCTCCCTTAAGGATTTAAAGCCTTGGGACCCCTTTCTAGATGGGTCGCTGTGAGTGGAGATCGACCCGGTGCAGCGTGTGTGAGTGGTAGTCGTCGTTTCCTACACAGGTGCTCACCTGCCCTTGCTCTGCGCCGGCTGCCGAGTTGAAGAGGTATGCCCCAGAGACAGTGTGGTTACAATCGCGTGAGCTCCTGGCACCTGTGGGGAAGCAACAGACAGACAGCAAGGTTGGAACAGATGGCCGAGGCTCCCATACCAGGCCGGGGACTTGGGCCTTTATCTTGAAGGCAGTGAGGAGCCATTGAAGGCTTGTGGCCACGGCGTAATGTGATTAAATCACCCTGCCAGTCACCACCTAGGCAGGAAATATGGCCTTGGAGCTCGGGCATCAATGAAGCTGCAGAGTGGGCGCAGGGCGGCGGGGTGTGGAGCTGATGGGTTGGGACGGTAGGGAAGGAGATGTTGGGGGCTGCCTGGGGAGGTAACGAGAGGGGAGCACGAGGAGTTTCTCTGGGAGGTGTCGCCGCTGAGGCTCTGGAACGCCCGGCAGCTGCTGTCTGGTAGGCAGCCGGACTCGCATGAGGTCTGGCCGAGGGTCAGTGATCTCAGCCGTGTCGAATGGTGAGACGGGTGGCTTCTCCCAAAGTACCACGGAAAGTTCCGAAGGCTCCGCTCCCTCGGCTCACAGATGGACAAGCGATGGAAGGGCAGGTCCGTCAGAAAATGTTTTAGTCTCTGCGAGGTGCTGGGGACTCCTGTAAGCGCGTGGATACAGTGAGCAGACACTTAGGAAGCAGAGCGCTGAAGGCACTGACATGCCACCAGGCTGAGTGGGAAATGAAGCAGGTCAATATTCTGTCCGCTGGTGGTAAATGTGATGGATCAGACGGTAAGCAGGTAAGAGACTACTTAGTACTGGGGCGGGGGTGCTGTCCCAGAAGGCCTCGCTGATACAACAACGTTTGAACTGGGTCCTGAAAGAGCGAGGGAGTGAACCAGGCAAAATATCCGAGGGAAGAGCAGGTGCAAAGACCCAGAGAGAGGCGGGAGTGTGCTTGGCACGTGGAAGGGAGAGTAGAGGCTGGTGTGACTGAAACAGACTGCGAGAGCAAGAGGGGTGCGGGGCGGGGGCCGCACAGGCCTCTGTAAAGGCATTTTCTCTTGAGAGGGCTGCAAGCCCAAGGGTGCCGTGACTGACTTCTTTGTGCACGTAGACTGCAGGAGATGAGGGTGCAAACCTCCTGGCGGCGGTTGCGGTAATCCAGGGCAGGGTGAGGGTGGCTGGGACCAGAGCGCTGTTGGTCGAGGGGATGGTCAGACTCTGGATATAGTCAACAGTAGAGTCCACCAAGTGGGCTGATGGAGGGATATGAGGGAAAGAGAAATGGAGAAGGCCTCTCGTGGTTGCATCCTGCAATGGCTGCCATCAGCATCGCTCTAGAAAATGCGGAGACGGTTTGTTACAGACACAGACTCAGCTAGACACACGAGCATCCACGCATAAGCTTCCCATGGAGGGCGGCCCTGAGAACTCGGTCTGGCCAGCGGGAAGGAGGAAGTTGGGATTGGGTCTGACTGACAAGTGCCTGCTAGGAGTCTGTGTACACATTTCCAGTAGGCAGTCCATCTGCCCCCTCTCAGGAGCCTGAGTCTTCCTGACTTTCCCAACCCTGCCTGTGACCTGCGCCCCATGCTCTGCCCCCAGGTGGTGCACAGGGACCTCAAGCCCAGCAATATCTTGTACGTGGACGAGTCCGGAAACCCAGAGTGCCTGCGCATCTGTGACTTTGGCTTCGCCAAGCAGCTGCGGGCTGAGAACGGGCTCCTCATGACACCGTGCTACACTGCCAACTTTGTGGCCCCCGAGGTGAGTGGCCTGGCTGCCTCAGGTTCAAGAGTGAGAGGACCATGGCCCCTGAGCCCTTGTGCCCCTTCCCAAGGCTTCCCGTTGCTCCAAGACGCCAGTCCCTTGGTCTTGGCCCAGGCACCAAAGGACCCTTGTCCCACGGGCCCACCTCGCACTGCCCTCAGACTGGCCTCCTTGCCAGGTGCTGAAGCGCCAGGGCTACGACGAAGGCTGCGACGTCTGGAGCCTGGGCATCCTGCTGTACACCATGCTGGCTGGGTGAGCGTCCCCACCCCCCACCCTCCTCCTGCTTCCGTGTTCAGAGGGCAGTGGGGCTTGTCTGGGGCGAGATGCAGCCATGCCCTGGGAAGGGCCTGAAGGTAGAGACACAGTCCTGCCTTTGTGGAGGATGACCCTGCCCCTGGGAGTCCACTCTGGGTGGGAGATAGACCCCTTCACCAGGATTGAGGCCAGGGCTTTTCCCCAGATACACTCCGTTCGCCAACGGGCCCGGTGACACCCCAGAGGAGATCCTGACCCGGATTGGCAGTGGGAAATTCACCCTCAGCGGGGGCAACTGGAACACAGTTTCAGAAGCAGCCAAGGTGGGTGTGGAAGGCCTGGACCGGGCGTGTCTACGGGGGGACGCTGCTCCACATCTCAAGCCACCCTCGGTCGGTGGGCTCCAAAAGCTCACTGTCGTAAGTCGATTCTAGCACGCAGCGAGCCCATAAGACAGAGTAGAACTGCCCCCGTGGGTTTCCGAGGCAGTAAATCTTGATGGGGCAGAAAACTTCATCTCTCTCTCAGAGAGCGGTTGGTGTGTTAGAACCTCTGACCTTCTGGTTGGCAGCCCAACTGCACCTGCTCCACTGCCAGGGCTCTGTGGTGGATGAAGAGGTGGCCTTGTTTCCCCAAGTAGAATGTTCTACAAATCCCTCTTGCTCTGTCTCTCCAAGTGGAAGAGGCCCAGGCAGACCACCCCCTTCCCCGATCTTGCTGATCATTCTGAGCCTTCCAGTGGGGGGGTGGGGGGCGGGGCAAGAGGGCTGCATCCATGACAGCCCCAGCCTCATGGGACATGGTGTGGTGGGAGATATGTACAAGGGACAGAGATGCCACACAGCAGAGAGGTGGGCCCTGCTGGCTTGGAGTATGGGCAATGGAGGCCCCAAACAGAGCAGCAAGGTGGTGGCATTTGGGTTTGCGATATTAGAAAAAATTCCAATTTGGGGGAGCCTCTGTGCCAGGCACTGGAGCTGAGCCTTTATGAGCAGTAGAAGCCAAGTCTGTCCTGTACGCAGGAAGCAAGGTGAGGCTCGGCGAGTAGAAGGGGCTTTGTCCAGGACCCTCCCTTGATGAGGGGAGGAGATACTTTTGAACAGAAGTGTGCTCAGCCCCACACTTTGGGCTCTTACCGCCTTCCCACAGAACAACTCTGAAGGTGAAGGAGAAAGGGAAGGCATCCCAGAAAGAAGTCTCTGCGGAAGCAAAGGCCCAGAGAAGGGAATGTGTTGTTTTGTCTAGTCTTTGGGAGACTGGGGTTATTGCAAAGGTCTTGGCAGAACATGGTGAGCCCTGGCTGCCCTGCTCATCTCTTGCCAGTGGGCAGAGCGATCGGCTCTACTGACCTCTCCTGCTAACCTCCCAAACCGTTGTGTCCCTAGGACCTGGTGTCCAGGATGCTGCATGTAGACCCCCACCAGCGCCTCACAGCCAAACAAGTCCTGCAGCACCCATGGATCACCCAGAGAGACAAGCTCCCCCAGAGCCAGCTGTCCCACCAGGACCTGCAGCTGGTAAAGGTACGACCACCCCCAGCTGCTGGGCTTCTGGGCACTCGGACCAAAGTTCCACTGGGCAGGGACCTGGGCTGGCAGAGCCGGGGAGGCTGTGTCTGAGCTGGGCACCTGTAAGTGGGACAGAGGCAGAGAAGACCCAGCCCTGCCCTCAGGGGTCCCAGTCTAACGTGCAGCGGGGTCCACAGACCCCAGGAGCAATGACCATGCAGGCCACACTGCCGAGGCTGCATTCCCAGGCGGCTGGGTGAGCCCTGGCTGTTGGGACACAGGGAGGGGCTGGACGGGCCTGGTGCTGGAACCCCCCACCCATCTGGTCAGCTGACCTTTCTCTCTCTCTCTCCCAGGGAGCAATGGCCGCCACGTACTCTGCACTCAACAGCTGCAAGCCCACCCCCCAGCTGAAACCCATTGAGTCATCTATCTTGGCCCAGCGGCGGGTGAGGAAGCTACCGTCCACCACCCTGTGAGGGGCCGCACGTCCAGGCCGCAGGGCAGTGCCAGCTCGGGAGGCAGCGCACTTCCCAGAGGGAGCAGGCCTGAGTCACAGGACCAGAGGGAGCTGGCGCCTCGAGAGGCCCAGGAAGCAGCCAGCCCAGATCACCCCCCATGAGGGTGTGAGAAGTGCCTTCTCCTTCCCCAGGATGGACTCTTCTCAGTCAGGCTCTGCCCGTTGGAACTGAGTCACTGTGCAAACTCATCTTTTTTTTAAGGGAAGAAATGGCATCAACCACCACGGATTTTGACCAGATCCGTTTGCCTTTCTGGGAGCAGGAGTAGCCAGTGCAGGCCGGGAGCAGCGTTGAGTCCTGCTAAGACTGCGTGGCTGAGGCTGAGAGCAGCTTGGGGGGGCGCGGGGGAGGGGAACCCCACCACTGGCCCTCTGATGCCATCTGCACACGCGTCCGGCAGTCGGAGCAGCCCAGCGGTACCTCCTGAGCAGAGCCTCTGGCTGGTTAGAACTCTCTCTCCCTGGTCCTTTTTAGTTCCATTCTGTGGGGGTGGCCCCAGAACCACATCCTGCCAGAGGTGAGGACCACCGCCTTGCCGACTCCCAGCTCCAGGCACCAGCATCCGCCCCGCCCGCACCCCACCCCCCACCCGGTCCCCTGCAGTCGAGCTGGGCAACCCCAGGGGCAGGATCAGAAAAGCACTTTGGGGCCCACTTCTGCTGGGGTCTGAGTGTGTGACGGGAGACCAGTGGGGCTGGCCGAGGCGGGCAGGGGCTCTTTGTGTGTGTGTTTCATTTCTTCCTCAGCTGGTAACTCAGGGTTCATCTGTCCATGGCCTTTCTAGTAAACATACAGCTGAGCTGAAACGCCTTGTCCTCCACCTTTTCTCCCGAGTCTGCCCTCGCTCTGTTTGCTCTGGGCGTCCTGGACTTGGGCAGCGCTGAGATGGGGACTGGTTCAGCTGCTTGGAGGGCAGGTCCGGGTACTGCCTGGGCATTATGGGTCTATCTCATTTCATCTGGACCCTGTTTGGTGGGGGCTGTGGCGAAACTGAGGCTCAGGGGAATGCGATACAGCACATCAGGCCTGCTCCAGGTGCCGGAGTTAGCGTGGCGGACCAGGTAGACGGGTCATAACTCTTTGTAGGGGAAGTGGACATAGAGCAAACCCGCGCCAGCCACTGAGAAGACATGTGCAGGGTCACATGGGGGTGAGGAGTGGGGAGTGACTTCAGGGAAAGGCCTCTCTGGGGAGATGACCCAGAGACGGAGACCCGAGTGCTAAGAAGGAGCTAGTCATGCCAAGCCAAGGAGGCAGAGGGCTGAGTCGGGCGAAGGGCCCAAAGGGTTGGCCGTGTTCAGGGACTAAAAAGAGGCCAGTGTGCTTCACACCTCAGGACAAAGGGGTCTGCGCGAGGCGAAGCCAGAGCGGAGGGCAAGGGCCAGGCCTCCTGCGCTTACAGGCCAGGGTAGGTCGTGTTTCCCTCTAAGTGAGGTGAAAATCCTTGGGAGAATTTCATTCAGTGAAGAAGTGACGTGATTTTATTGTTGGAAATGCACAAACCAAAAGTGCCAATACAATTTCCACGCAGGTGTGTGATACATACAGCAAGGTGGACTAGGTCCTTCACATTATGTGGCCCTCCTCCGGCCTGTCCTTGCCCTGTCGGTCATTCATGTCCCCCAGCGTCCTCTCACCAGTCACGGCACTGTCAATGCTTGGTCCTCTGGAGAGTGTTTCCCAAAAGCGCAGTCATTCTTCATTAGTCTAGGTAGATTGCATCTGCTTCGAGGAAGGCTTAGGCTTCACGGTTAAAGATGACTTTAAGGACTCATCCAGCCTTCCGGCCTCCAGAAAGTCTAGGTTCCATGAGAGTTGAAACTCTGTCCCAGGGAACTGCATGACTTTATTTACTTTTTTTTTTAATCATCTCATTGGGGCTCGTGCTGCTCTCATCACAATCCATCCATCCATCCATTGTGTCAAGCACGTTTGTACATATGTTGCCATCGTTGTTTTCAAAACATTTTCTTTCTACTTGAGCCTTACATATAGATCAGAGTGATTGATTCCCCCTTTCTTCGCCCCCACCCCTCCTGCCTTCCCCTCCTGGTTTTGCTACTCTCATTGGTCCTGAGGGGTTTGTTTATTTACATTTTAAAGAGAGCACTTTGCCCATGTGACTTTACTGGAGTAACAGGGGAGGTACAGGTGTCGCAGGTCAGCAGCTGGGACAGTCACCCAGGTGAGATGTACCAGGACAAGAGATGTGGGGGAGGAGTGAGCAGCCTCAGGAGATACTCTCTGGAGACAAGGGCAAGTTTGGGATGTAGACGATCAGAGAAAAAGGAAATTCAAAGATATCCTTTAGAGTCGAAGTGTGTATCTTTCAGATTTGATATTTGAGATGTTGAGTACTAAAATAAGAGTTGGGGAGAAGCAGACTCTGGGAAAATGCTTAGGGTTTTTTCCAGAAATCCCTTTAGCTAGCCTGAAGGACAGGTCGTATGAGCGTTGTGCTTATGAAGCTGGGGTTCTGAGCTGGTGCGAAGCTCACGCTTCTCAAAGTGTGGTCTCCAAGTCCCCATCACTGGCATTGTCTGAGAGCTTGTTCGAAATGCAGGATTTCAGACCTTGTGTTTCCCCAACATCCTCCATTTAGGATCACAAAAGTCTGACTCGCCATCTGGCCAGGGACCATAGGCAATGTAGGCAGGCCAGCCTGGCACTCAGTTCTATGTGACCTGACGCCTGTCCCAGCCTGGCACTCAGTTCTATATGATCTGGCGCCTGCCGAGCCCCCTGCGACAGCTCTCAGCACTTCTCACCAGGGTCCCGAGCAGCACATAAGTCCTGCCACTCCCATGGACCCCTGGCCCACTGCAGCCCACCCTTTAGGACCAGGTTGTGCCTCCAGAAAGCTAGACTGGGTTGGGGGATGCTCCCTTTGGAGCCCCGACACCTCATTTCTGCACACCACACAGTTTTCCGAAACAGCTAATGAGGCAGATCTTCCGACCAGTCTGTGGGCCAGGATGTGTGGGCCGTGTCTGGCTCATCTCTGTCTCAGACACCTGGCACTGGGCCTGACACTCAAGGCCTGAGTTTGATGGCTGGGTGAGTGACAGAAGGCGTGACAGTGGACTTGATGGGGCTGGAGAGAGCTCAGTCAACAGCCAGAAGAGCCAGAGCACCGAAGGGAGGAAGGGAGAGGACACAGGTGCTCTGAGGGGCATGGCTGGCCCCAGCACTGGGGGAAGGTTGAAGAAGCAGGACATGGTGGCTGAGTGTCAAGCAGAGTCCACAGGAACTCCCTGGGCCACTAAGCCTAAGTGCTTCCCTTCTCTGAGCCCGAGACTCCCCACTGGCCAAGTGGAGGTAGGAGTTCTGCCGTCCGGCAGCACTCCCTGAGATCAGCGGGGTGAGTGTGGAGGTGTTTCGGAAGATCAAGAGTGCCACTTGTACAATTCACCTGGCCCTGCTTTTCACGAGGCCGGGAGAGCCCCCAAGGACATGCTGGATTCCAGAAGTTTCTAGCCAGCGGCACCTGTCAGGACTTCCCCTTCCTGGGTGTCAACTGTCTTGACAAAATCTACTAGGAAATACTGTGTCTCGGGGAAACAAATGATCAATTTAGTTGCTCCCAAGTTCAAAGATCACTGGCCCCCTACATGCCCTAATAACAATCCCTGAGCCCACCCTGTAAAATGTCCTCTCCATGAGTCCTGGCACGTGCTCCCTAGGGGCAACTGCTAGCCTCCGCACGCTTCCATTTAATCCGCTCATGGGAGAACCCAAGGCTCAGGAAGAGACTTGTCCGAGACGGAGCTAAGCAGGAGAGCAGAACTCAAACTGAGGGCTGTGTGATTCTGAAACTCACTGTCAACCGTTGTGCTGCCCTGCCCTGCCTCTCTGCTTCTGAGAATATCCAAGACCTGCTTAGCTGTTTCCCAGATCCCTGGTTATCTCCTTCAGCCCGCCCCAGGGTCGTAAGGTCCCTACAATGTGGGGGCTTCATTCCCAGGGAAAGGGAGCAGTTACAACATTCTGTTCCCAGCTGCCAGACAGTGGAAACCAGCTGGAGAGTTTGAGGGTTTCCTCTGGACAGTCTCAGAAGGTCGTGTGTCCCCCAGTTGTGGGGGCTACCCACAGACCTGATGACCGCCGGTCAAGGAGGCCATTCTCGTCCTCAGCAGGTGACCCTGGTGTGACCTGCGGATGGATCTGCAGACTTGGCACGGCTATCAGGCTATCAGAATCCACGCGTCCCCTACCGCCCTCCCTCCTATGTCAGATCACGTGGTTTGCAATGCAGGTTTCCAGACAGGCACGCTGAGAGGAGCAGCTCGTCTCCTACACTTGTCATACATGCAAACATTTGGTAACTTGGCTAAAACATGGATTCAGTTCCTACTCAGCCCGGTCATTAAAGGACAAAGCACCTACCAATTCGTGTTGTGACCATTCATTTAATGGCTACACTAATGAGTGCACTGCACTGAGCTCCTGCTACGCAAGTTGTCATCATGCCTAGACTCCACGCCATATGAGGAGGCAGGCCTCAGAACTGCTCCTTCCTGTTGAGGAAACTGAGGCTAATGAGGATCAGGGGCCCAGAGTCGCCCAGCCAAGAGGTGGCTGAGCCAGGCTTTGAAGGCAAGTCTATCTGGCTCCAAAGCTCATGCGTTTCCGACAAGACCACCCAGGTGTCTGGGTGAAATTTCATGCCACCGTGATTCATAAACTCTCAGGGTCAGAGGATCTTCCACCCGCCATAGGAATCCCCCCAGTTTCCTCCTGACACTGCCGGTGACAGAGTTCACCACGTCACAAGACAGTCCCGACGCTGTTGGAAAGTTCCCCCAGCTTTGGACTGAGGTCTCTTGGAGGGAAGTCCCCCTCGTACTCCAGGGGACTCACCAAGAAACGACTGAACTGTAGCAGCAAGGGAAATAAATCTAGACACACGTTGCTACCAGCAGGGAACACGGGGGTTCAACAGGGAAGCCCTCTGCTGCTCCGGGTCCCCAGTGACGCCTAGCTGGCACTTGAAATCACCACCACGGCTGCTGTCAGGGAAGGTCGCTGCCGGTGGCAGAGCAGGGTGTCTGCTACGGCTGCCTGTCCAGGCAAGAGGGAAGGATTCAGTGAGGTGAGCAGGAGGGCCTCGTGGGCCATCACCCCTATCCGGCCCCTCCTGCCTGGACTCTTGCCCAGCTCCCCACGAAGGCAGCGGTGGGAACAGCGTGGAAGAGCACAACCCACAGAGTCACACACACTCAGCCCCATTGCTGACCTGCTGTGTGACCTGCAGCAGGTCGCTTCGCTGCTCCGATGACGCCTCGGCCGTCCAGCCGGGCTCTTGGGAACGTGAAGTGAGTGTGTGTCTGAGAGCTGCTCGGCCACAAAGGACGCAGCCCGGAGGAGTGGCCAGGGGCAGACTCGGGGGCTTGTCTGCTGGGTTTCCTTAGGGGACTATGTTATAGATGTGTAAGCAGTGCTGAGTGAGAATCCACACTGGACAGCTTGCCTGTGTGACCTACGACAAGTTACTAACCTCTCTGCCTCCATTTCCCCATCTTTAAAGTGGGGTTTAATAGTCGAATCTACTCTTTGATGGAGATGAAGCAAGATCATGCCAGAGCAGTGCATAACACAGGGCCTGACGCAGAATAATTGCTAATAAGTGCTGACGACCTATTGGCTACTACTCCTTCACCTCTTCTCTCTCTCTCTCTTTCTCTCTCTCCCCCTCCCCTCCCTCACCCCCATCCCCCATCAGCATTAAGTCGAAGGAGCCACATTCGGCCAGTTGGCTCATAAGCATGAGAGAGAGAGGAGTTCTCTTGTGGAACCTTCTTTCTCT